GGCTTTACGTTACAAACGCCTTTGATCTTCAGCCCAGCCCAACCCTTCCCTTTTGCGAGATGACAATATTTAGGCTGAAGATTGTCTAGACATTTGCAAATCATAGTAATAATAACACCTTTCGCTTGGGTTTTTTATTTATTTTTTCCCAGATGTGTTTTTCTTTCCCCTCCCCAAAACTGCTTGGGTGACACACAGCTTTAAAAACCAAGGAAATGATAGTCTTGCAGAAAGCTAAATACAGGCATTGACAGCGCCGGAGCGGGCTGGGAGGAGGATACGGGAAGGGATTTAAACACACTGACAGGCAGAGCCTCAATCTGCTTTGACGCGCCCGGCGGATTTTGTACAAAACAGAAATGCAGGAAACGCCGAAAGCTCGCTGGTCCAGATGCGAGAGAAGTATTTTTCTTTTTCTTTTATTGCTTGCAAACCAACGGCAGGGCCGAGCATGTGTCAGAATCATGGGTCGGCCATCTGCGGCTCAAGAGCCGCATGTGGCTCTTTCGTCCCTCTGCTGCGGCTCCCTGTTGCCGGTTGGCTGCAGTTGATTTGATAGGGCTTTCGGTTAGGACAGGTAGAGGAAAAAGGACGCCGCGCTAGGAGGAGACTCTACGGTGGGGGAACCGGACTTCCAGTTGGCAGAGGAAAAAGGATGTCGCGCTAGGAGGAAACTCTATGGTGGGGCAACCGGACTTCCAGTCGGCAGAGTAAAAAGGAAGCCATGCTAGGAGGAGACTCTATCGTGGGGGAACCAGACTTCCGGTCAGCTCCAGAATTGAATGGGGGGCTTCCGGTTAGGACTTTTGCACCTGAGTGTTTTAAAGTTGCCGACCTCAGGTCTGCCTAGTTCTGGAATGACATTAAAGTCTAAAATACGGAGGTAACTTGGCAGGGAAGGAGACAAATTAACTTTCGCGTCTAAATAACATGCAGCACGTGAGATTTTTCAGGGCGCCCGCCATTAAAAGTGGGGATTGCTTGTTTTGCAACCACTGAGGTACCCCCATTTCCTACTCAGTAGGACTTGGGGCGACGTCCGAGGCCTGATCGCGTCTCACCTGATCTCTGGATCGGTTGATCCTCTCGGTCAAAAGCTCCACCGTGTTGCGTTCCTCGTCCAGCTCCACTTCCAGCCGCTTCAATTTGTCCTGCAAATACAGGGAGGGGCTTAGCAAGGGCAGGGGGGGGGGACCTTTCTGGATCCGCCAAGCGCTTAAAAAACTGAGGGAAAAGTCCCTGTTTTGTGTTGGGTTTTAGCAAATGGGCTGGTAATTTATTTTTTTTTTTTCCTGTTGTGGAACTGGCTGCCTTTCTTAACACCGGGGGGTGAGGGGGGGGGGATCTCTAATTTTTTTCTAGAAAAATGCTGGCTTGTGGAAAATGCAAAGTTTTGCAGTACGGAAAATGCCATCTCCAGCATTTTTGTTTTTTATTTCTCGGAGGGAAACGCACAGGAAATTAATTGGGGTTATTGCAAAAACTGATTAGCGCAGCACGGAGTTTAATAAAAGGGGAGGGTTAGTTTGAGAGCAGGCGCTGCCCTCTGCTGGTGGGTGGAAGCAATGACGGGCAGCAAAAACAAGCCGTAAAATTGGGCATGGCTCACTTCGCACCTTGTTTAGCGATGGATATTCTGGTAAACTCCGGTCGTAAGTTGAGGACTACCTGTAGCTGTGCCCAAAAGGGGAAGAGAGTGAGATCCGTTCAGAGACCGTACAAACCTCCAATGCTTTGACCTGGCGGGATCGATCGTCCTGGGATCGCCGCTTGGTCTCCATCTCCTGCTCCAGGTTGCGGAATCGCTGGGCCAGGAGTTCCTTGTCCAGGACGGCGTTCTCGAGCTCAGCCTGGCTGTCCTGGAGGGCCTGTTTGAGACGCAGCACCTGGAAGAGGAGGAGGAGAAGGGATGGATGGAAGGGTGGGTGGTTGGAAGGAAGGAAGGAAGGAAGGAAGGAAGGAAGGAAGGAAGGAAGGAAGGAAAGAAAAATAAAAGGGACAGAGGGAGGAAAGAAATTAAAAGAAGGGGAAGAGAGGAAGGGATGAAGGGAAGGAAGGAGGATGGAATAAAGGAAGGGATGAAGGGAAGGAAGAAAAAAGGAAATGGATAGAGGGAGGAAGGAAATTAAAAGGGGGTGGAAAAAGAAGGGAGGGGAAAAAAGGAACAGAGAGGAAGAAAATTAAAAAGAAAGGGAGGGAGAGAGAGAGAAAGGAAAGAATAAGGGCGGAGGGAGGGAGGAAGAAAGGAAGGAAGGACAGAAAGGTTAGATAGAGATAGGATTAGGGTGGGTGAGCCAAGGTGCCAAGGTGGCGCAGTGGTTAAATGCAGCACTGCAGGCTACTGCTAGATCAGCAG